ATTTCCGTTTTCCGCTTTGTAATGAGATATACTTGAAACGATAGTAGTATTAGCGACGGGTATTTTTACATATACTGTGCTAGTAATATTATATTCAGACACTTTGTTAATTTTTACATCGAAAGATTATATTTTCCTAATCTGAAGTATTTTCATGTTTCTACAAACAGGCGCTGGGAATAGTTTGCGTAGGAATTGCTGGTCACGAATTTACTAACAATGTATATCGGACCACCGCAGAGCTTTTCTTTCTTCTTATAACAACTACATTTATGATTAGCACTTTCATCCTTCTTATGAGTTGCCTGACATCTTTTTCTACCGCATCTATTATATCTAAAACTATTCATGTAAGTACAAAAATTAAAAAGATTATATGTTAAAATTGAAATTATATATAATTTCAATTATACGTATAATTGATTATTAAGCGTGATTTATTTAATCCATTATCTGTACTTCGTTCACAAGACGCGAGAGTATTATTAAATGTTACCATAAGTATTAAAATTTAATTCAAGTAATATCAGAAAGTGAGAATTAAATATTAAAAAAAATTAAACATTAAATTATTTCGGTAATACCTTATTGCAAACGTTATGTTGATTGACAATGTTTTTCGAATTTTCAGGAACTTCTTTATCATTCCATTGCATTTGGACTAATACTTGCGGCCTCGTTGACACTTATGGTGCACATCAATAACTACAGGCGTTATAACTATGAGCTATTATTAGGCGCTTCCGTAAGTACAACGTTACATTTGTAAAAATGAAATTATAATATATAATTAATAATCATATTTCATTTAACTTGGCCAGTTTGTATATAACGTGTTAAGCCTAACGAATCATCTTTTATCTAAAGAATTTAAATCATTCACAACAATTCCCAAGTTTTTTTTAAGCGAGAACGTCAGTGAAAAGATGGTTTATTAGACTTGGACACTTTAAATACATATTGCAATTAAATTTATATTTAAATTGTAACAAATCTTATTAGAAGAACGTTTTAATTTTTATCTAGATTTGCGGTCTGGTAAACGCGGCTTTATATATCTTGAGCACAATCTTCGCTCTTCGTACTTACAGAGGAATCTAAGCGCACGAATTATGCGACTGTTACTAAGTTACTAAAAACGGATTCTTCATATGAAACATGAGGAAATGTTTTACAAATAAAGCGTGTACATTTTAGGAACTTTGTTATAACAACTAAATTAATTAAATTAATGTGTAAATTGTACAACGAATTTTGACTGTCGGACAACATTCAATACTTGGCGAGTATTGAAAAAATGCCGAACGATATTTTTATGTTGCATATTTTAAAAAATTATATAGAGCGTTTACGTATTTTTTATTTTTATACAACATTCATTGGTTCTCAGACGAAATTGCAAGATTATGTTTACTAATTGTTCTTCGTGTTATTTATCCTAATCGTAAATAAAGTTGAAAAATCACAATTTTCTGTAATGTAAAAATTAAAGTAAGAAATACGCGATCTCCACGTTATACGAAACCTTACTATTGTACATATTTTTTATCAATATGTGCCACTTACATTTTATATTATGGGCTTGCTACGATTGTGTGATTGCGATCATATTCTCTTGCAGAATCTGTATTTAATATAAACATATTTTACATACGTATTTATACTTCTTAAATAACCCAGAGAGAACAAATTTCTATCAAGATTCACAGTGTTTTGAATAATTGTATGGTTAACATTTTTAATAATCAACTTTGTACTATATTTGTATTTATTTTAATTTTCTTTATATTCGTAATTACAATAAACTATTAAAACTTTTCCTAATAAATACATATACATATAATTAGCAAATGTAGAGATCATTATTAGACGACCCAAGTGGCAAACAGCGTGAAGTATTTATTTCATAGGTTACATCCAACATTTTTACCATCCGGATTGTAGTCAGACGTGCTTTGTAACACGAATCTTGGTGACAGGTGCCTTAACGCGCGCGCGAAATACATGTGTTTAATTTTATAGTTAAATTTTGTTTGATACGTCCTGACTTCTGGTATTTTAAATCCTT